GTATATAAAATATAAATGTGTTACACTCCACAATCAAAAGACATAGAGTGGCTGAATGGATAAAAGAAGATCCAACAAGAGACAAATGAAAATGAAAACAGAACATACCAAAATTTATGGAATGAAGCAAAAGGAGTACTAAGAAATTTTATACTGATAAGTGCTAACATTCTTTCTAAGAAAGGAAGATCTCAAATAGCCTAAATTTACACTAGAAAAAGAAACCAAACTCAAAGTTGGCAGATTAGACATAAATAAAACAGAAAAACAATAGAAAAAAATTAATGAAATAGTTGATTTTTTGAAAATATAAAAACAGACAAACCTTTAGCTAGACTAAGGAAAGACAAGACTCAAGTAAGTAAAATCAGAAATGAAAGGAAACATTACAGCTGATGCCACAGAAATTGGAAAAGATGAAGAAGGACTATTATAAATGATTATGTTGATAAACTGGACAACTGAGAAGAAATAAACTCCTATACACCTAAAAACTTTCAAGTCTGAATCAAGAATAGAGAGCTTGAACAGGTTAGTCACATGTAAAGAGATTAAACCAGTAATCAGAAAGTTCCCAAAAAAGAAAAGCCCACAACCAGGCGGCTTCAGCAGATGAATCTAATGGTGAATCCTACCAAACATTCAAAGGAGAATTAATACCAATGTTTAAACTTCTAAAAAAAATCTAACAGGAAACACTTCCAAACTCATTTTATGAGATTAGGATCACCAAAGCCAAAGACAATACAAGAAAACTGCAGGCCAATATATCTGACAAACATGGATGCAGAAAACCTCAAAAAAATGAACAAACTGAGTTTGTTAGCATATTAAAAGGGTCATACAACATGACACAGTGGTATTTATCCCTGAGATGCAAGAATGGTTCAACATATGTAAATCAAACAATATGATACATCACATTAACAGAACGAAGGATAAGAATCACACCATTTTCTCAATAGCTGCAGAAAAAGCATTTGACAAAAAACACTCTTTCATGATTAAAAAAAAAACCTCTCAACAAATTAAGCATGGAAGCAACTTACCACAACATAATAAAGGCCGTATATGAAAAGCCCAAAACTAACATTATTTTTAATGGTGAAAAACTGAAAGCTTTTCCTATAAAATTCAGAACAAAGTAAAGATAGATACCCACTCTTGCCATTTCTATTCAGCATAGTACTAGAAGTCCTAGCCAGAGTAATTAAGTAAGAAAAAGAAAATGCATTCAAATGGAAACGGAAAAAGTAAAATTTTCTCTTTTTGCAGAAGTCAATCTTATATGTAGAAATCCTAAAGAAGAGCATCCAAAATATATATATATATTAGAATAAATGAACTCAATATAGGTGCATGATACAAAATCACCATACAAAAATCAGTTGAGTTTCTACACACTAACAACAAACTACCCACAAAAAAAATCAAAGAAACAATCCTATTTACAATAGCATTTAAAACAACCTAAATTCTTAGAAATAAACTTCACCAAGGAAGTGAAAGACCTACACACTAAAAACTACAAAACGCTGATAAAAGACATTTTAAAAGACTTTAGAGGAAAAGACAGTCCATGTTCAAAGACTGGAAAAATTAATATTGTTAAAATGTCCATACTTTCCAAAGCAATCTGCAGATTCAAGGCAATCACTATCAAAATCTCACATTTATTTTTAATAAATATGGGAAAAAAATAAACCTAAGATTTATATGAAACCACAAAGGACTCCAAATAGCCAAAGAATTCTGAGCAAGCAGAACAAAGCTGAAGGCATCACAGGTCCTGATACCAAAATATGTTACAAAGCTACCAGAATCAAAACAGTATAGTACTAACATTAAAAAAAAGACAACAGAACAGAGAGCCCAGAAATAAACCTACACATATCTAGTCACTTGACCTTCAACTAGGTTGCCAAGAATATACAATGGGGAAAGGATATCCTCCTATCCTCTTCAATAAACACTGTTGGGAAAACAATACATATATGCAAAAGAATGATACAGGATTCTTATTTCACACCATGTACAAAAATAAACTCAAAATGAATTAAAGACAAAAGTAAGACTTGAAACTGTAAAACTCTGAGAAGAAAGCAGTGAGGAAGATTTTTAGGTTCAGCAATGATTTCTTGAATACCAAAAAGAAAAAAAAAAAAAAAAGGAGGCAAAATAAACAACAAAGTGAAAACACAACCTATGTAATGAGAGAAAATGTCTGAAATTCATATGATTAACACTCGAAAGATACAGGACACCTTGTCTTACAATTTAGTAGCAAACTGAACAAACAAACAGCTCTACTTAAAAATGGGCAAAGGGCTTGAATAGACACTTCTCCCAAAAAGACATACAAATGGCAAACTAAAACATGGAAAGCCATTCAATAATCACTAATCACCAAGGAACAACAAATTAAAACCACACTGAGATATCACCTCACCTCATTTGGATAGTTATTATCAAAAAATAAATAAGTAAGAAGTGCTGGTGAGGGTGTGGAGAAAAGGGAGTCCTTGTACATGCTAGTGGGAACACACACTGGTGAAGCCACTATGGAAAACACAGTTATCATTTGTAACAACATGGGTGAACCTGGAGGATATTATGCTAAATGAAATAAACCAGAAACATAAGAACAAATACTACATGATCCCATTTATATGAGGAATCTAAATAAGCCCTAGACACTTACTATACACTGTAATGCCTACATTGCACACTTAAAATTTGCTAAGAGGGTAAATCTTAAGTATTCTTATCACAAAAAATGTAAAATAATAAAGAGGATGAAAAGAAACTTCTGGATGTGATAGAAATGTTTATGGCACTGATTGGGTTGATGGTTTCACAGGTGTGTGTGTGTGTGTGTGTATATATATCTCCAGACTCATCAAGTTGTACATATTAAATATATACAGTTTTTTTGTGTATCAACCACATCTCAATAGTTTAAAAAATAAATTAAGTATATCAACTATCATAGTGCAGAGTAAGCAATTACTAAATGGTAGATATTATTCATTATTACTCAGTTCTCTCACATCTTCCAGACAAATATGCCACTCTACTCTTAGTTCCTGCAACCCACTGAACATCATCTACATCACTTTATACATTGTAGCAGCATTATGTATCTGTACACTCATTTCCTTCACAAGAGGATGAGCTCTTCTGAAACAGGGACTGCAGTGCATGGGTGGCCCTAAAATCAAAGCCCTCAAGACAGTGTCACAAACAGTAGAACTGTTTGCTTAAGTGTTCACTGAAAAACATAAGTGAGTCAATCAGTCAATCTAGTTATGACGCAGACAATAAAATACCCTATCTCAGCCAATAATTACAAGTTCACTGTTAAGATTTTTCCAAGACTGTTGTCTGGAATGAGAAGCCAAGTGGGCCTTAGGAAGCATCACTACAAACAAAGCTAGTGGAGGTGATAGTATTCAAGTTGAGCTATTCCAAATCCTAAAAGATGATGCTGTTAAAGCTGCACTCAATATGTCAGCAAATATGGACAACTCAGCAGTGGCCACAGGACTGGAAAAAGGTCAGTTTTCATTCCAATCCCAAAGAAGGGCAATGCCAAAGAATGTTCAAACTACCATCCAATTGCACTCATCTCACACACTAACGAAGTAATACTCAAAATTCTCCAAGCCAGGCTTCAAGAGTACGTGAACCAAGAACTTCTGGATATTCAAGCTGGATTTATAAAAGGCAGAGGAACATAAGATCAAATTGCCAACATCCGTTGGATCATATAAAAAGCAAGATAATTCCAGAAAAATATCCACTTCTGCTCTATTGATTATGCCAAAGACTTTGACAGTGTAAATCACAACAAACTGTGGAAAATTCTGAAAGAGATGGGAATACCAAACCACCTTACCTGCCTCCTGAGAAATCTGTTTGCAGGTCAAGAAGGAACAGTTAGAACCACACATGGAACAACAGACTGGTTCCAAATTGAGAAAGGAGTACGTCAAGGCTGTATATTGTCACCCTGCTTATTTAAGTTACATACAGAGTACATCATGTGAAATGCCGGGCTGGATGAAACACAAGCTGGAATCAAGGTTGCAGGGAGAAATATCAATAACCTCCGACATGCAGATGATACCACCCTTATGGCAGAAAGTGAAGAGGAAATGAAGAGCCTCTTGATGCAAGTGAAAGAGGACAATGAAAAAGCTGGTTTAAAACTCAACATTTAAAAAATGAAGATCATGGCATCTGGTCCCATCACTTCATGGCAAACAGATGAGGAAACAATGAAAACAGTGACAGACTTCACTTTCTTGGGCTCCAAAATCACTGCAGATGGTGATTGTAGCCATGAAATTAAAAGACGCTTGCTCCTTGTAAGAAAAGCTATGACCAACCTAGACAGCATATTAAAAAGGGAGACATTACTTCGCTGACAAAGGTTCATCTAGTCAAAGCTATGGTTTTTCCAGTAGTCATGTATGGATGTGAGAGTTGGACTATAAAGAAAGCTGAGCACCGAAGAATTGATGCTTTTGAACTGTGGTGTTAGAGGAGATTCTTGAGAGTCCATTGGATATCAAGGAGATCCAACCAGTCAATACTGAAGGAAATCAGTCCTGGATATTCACTGGAAGAACTGATGCTGAAGCTGAAACTCCAATACTTTGGCCATCTGATGTGAAGAACTGACTCATATGAAAAGACCCTGATGCTGGGAAAGATTGAAGGCAGGACGAGAAGGGGACAACAGAGGATGAGATGGTTGGATGGCATCATCGACTTGATGGACATGAGTTTGAGCAAGTTCCAGGAACTGGTAACAGGAAGGCCTGGCGTGCTGTAATCCATGGTGTCATAAAGAATCAGACACAACTGAGCAACTGAACTGAACTGTTGTCTGAAATGTAAATAACCCTGGGAAGAAGTAAACTATTATGAGTCATTCTTATCTTACTGAGGCAAAGAAAAAAATATAAGAAATCTGAAGCGAGTGCAAAGGATACGCTGTTCCTCTGATACGTTTGATCTTTCCTGGATCTATGAGTTGAATAGGCTTCAGGACGTTCCTCACAGGACATGAAAAAAACACTTCACCTCCTCCTCCAGGCGGCATTCCCCGTCGTACAACCTGCAGGCATAATGAAAAAGAAGAGGTCGGGATTCAACAGAGTGGATGACACCCAGCCAGGCTGGTGTACACCAAGAATGAAAACCAACATTAGAATGCAGAAGGCTTTCATACCCAACTTGTCCATCTCCTCAAGATCAACAGCACCTAATGTTAGCTCCACAGGGGCACATGTTGAGCAAGGGGACCATGTGGTGTGTCAGAAAAAGCAGTAGACACCGACCCTACATGTTCCAGTCAAAGCCAGAGAGGTCACTCCACCACCAGAACTTGTCTCCTCAACCTTAAAATGAGGGACTAGTCTAGCTCATCAGCTTACCCACTTCTTAACCACCAAGAACCCTTTTCTCCTCTTCTGGAATTAACTGGTCTATTAAAACTCTATGTTATTAAATAAAAATGAAGTAATTTCCCTTGTTTAAAAAACATCACTTCAAAAAGCAGAGATGCTCAACAACTTAAGATATCTAGTGTTATCACAATGGATTGATATAATTCCCTTAAATAGCAAACAAACAGATGCTTAAATTAGTTCAACTAGGTTTTGAAAGTAAAGTACTAAAAAGTCTCAGGGACATTCAGACTGGTAGGCTCTGAACACAAATTAAAACGAATGATCCAGATCAGAGAGGTAGCATGGTCAGAATCCCAGCTCCGTGCCTTATTGGCTAAGTTGTTATAAGTCAAGGAGTTAATGTATGTAGAATGCTGACAACATCTACTACCACTAAATAAGTGCAATATATCCATTACTCTTGTCATTACTAAAGGGACCCTTTCAGCTCAAAGTCTGCAATGCTAGGTTCAAGAATCCTGTGGGTCGGTTGGATGCATGAGACAAGTGCTCGGGCCTGGTGCACTGGGAAGACCCAGAGGGACAGGGCAGAGAGGGAGGTGGGAGGGGGGACCGGGATGGGGAATACATGTAAACCCATGGCTAATTCATTTCAATGTATGACAAAAACCACTGCAATGTTGTAAAGTAATTAGCCTCTAACTAATAAAAATAAATGGAAAAAAAATAATAATAAAAATAAAACCAAAAAAAAAAAAAAAGAATCCTGTGGGTCTTCTTACAATGGTGACTTCAAATGTGCCACACACACACTGAGCCATACAGCTCCTACCAACAGTGAGTTGGTAAGAAAATATTTCACACTGATTTATGCCACCAACAATCTGGACATTCGTACCTTTAATTCAAAAGATTCACCATCAATCCCAAACTGTTTCAGTAGAGGGAGTGCTGTTGCCTTCAGAACATCAACCTGTAGAATAATTTCAGGAAAAAAAAGTTTAGTTAAACCTTGAGATGGAAAGAATCCACAAAGCAAGTTAAGGCTTAGCCTCCAGGTAGATGAAGCAGTCTGGTAAAGAGAAAAGAGGCTGGCTTACAACTGAGGGCATGGGTTGGCTCTGCTCTCGACTATAGACTATGATTTTGTAAGCCACTGGCTTCTCTGAGCCCCTTTTCCACATTTATAGTGTTACCCACCTACGTTATGAGGCATCATGAACGTCACATGCTACCATGCAAAAAGCACCAAGAAGCTGCTGGGCTCATACAGAAAACAAACTGAGGCCTCAGCTCATCCTTACAAGTGTGGACACTAAGCAAAAAAATGGCCTGGGTAAGTATTCTTTATTTATTATGCCTATTTCATGTTTAGAGTTGGTGGCACTCCGGGCTAAAGTGAATCAACTATGCAACCTAACAGTTCTACGTAAGAAAGCTGCTGACACCCACACAGGCAGTTAAAGGTGGTGGTGATTCTACAAGGCAGTGGGGGCCTCAGAGGGAGGGCAGCCTCAAACTGCACCGAACAACACAAACCCCTAAGTGCAATGAAGACATCCACAGCTGATGGCAAGACACTGTCACGTGTAACTGTTATCATCTCCTCATTCAAAACTCCTAGGAGGCCTGCGATCCTTCCCTATTCATTTGCAGATTCCTCACAGGGAATAATGTGATATTCAAATCACGTTATCGAAGAAGTCAGTGACTGCTGTCTCAGCGGCAACCGGGGAAACAAGAGCAATCCCTTGCTTGTTCCCAATGGAACAAGAGATGTTTCTCAGCCCTGTAGGGGCTGATCCTACAACGGGAAGCATTGAGGGCAAGCAGCGCAAGCAGAGGCTCTGGGAAAAACCCTGGTCCCAGTCCAGGCTCGAGTTTGCTGTGTGGCCTCAAACAAGAAAATCTCAACTTCTAAATTCCCTTGTCTCTAAGGTAAGGAGCTCAGCCTGCCTGTCTCCAAGTTGCTACCAACTCTTACATGCTAAGATTCAACAGAACAATACTCGACCAGGGCTTTATGGCAGAGAACAGTCCCCAACTAAATATTTGTATATCAGAAAATTAACCAGAGGTAGAAATGACCTATGTAGCCTAGGAACATGTTCAGCATGGATCAGGTGGGGCAGAAGCAGTTACTGGGAAAATCCATTAATGATTAGCTAATTTCAATTAAATATTAAAGCTACACACAACTCAGAAACTTAAAATAGGCATCTGGAATTGCCGAAACCAAGAAGAATTCAGTCAAGGCTAGTACAAAGGGCAGTTGGGGAGAAGACCAAGCCAGATTCTGGAAATGGTGGGGGCTGCAAGGATGCCGGTTACTCCATGAGCACAACTCCTGGAGCTGGGTGTCCTCCAGCTCTCCAGGGGAAGAGAAAGGCGAGAGAACAGAACACCCCTGCTGGTTCTTCCTACCCACACCTGGAGTCAAATAGGAGGAAGTCAAATTGATTCTGAGGGCCAGTCAGGAGCCCAAATATAACTCCAGGTGTGGTCCTGTCTCCTGGGTCTCTCCATCTGACACGAAGGGCAGGCCCCTCGCTGAGGTGGGACAAGGGCTGGAAAGGCAGCTGTGGGCTGGAGCCCCACTCAGCCTCTAACAGCCTCTGAGGCCTGGACGCTCTCTCCTCAGGGCTTTAGCTGTCTGCTGTAGAAAGAGGGGCCCGATTGGAAAGTTCCACAACCTCCTCAGGCTCCACACACTGGATCTAGCAAAGTGGGGGTGGTCTGTGGGTTCTGCTTCAAGGAAACCTATCTGTTACTCTGCAGTCAGAGAGGAAAGGCAAAAGTCTGACCCAAGTGGAACCTCAGGGCAAAGGCATCGCCCCCAGCCCAACCAGTCAACAGGTAGAAATATGATCAGACCCATAGCTTCCCAGGTGGCCCTAGTGGTAAAGAACTTGTCTGCCAATGCAAGAGACCTAAGAGACTCAGGTCAGGAAGATCCCCTGGAGAAGGCAATGGCAATCGAGTATTCCCCAGTATTCATTCCTGGAGAATCCCACGGACAGAGGAGCCTGGCAGGCTAGAATCCATAAGGTCTCAGAGAGTCAAACATGGCTGAAGCAACTCAGCACACACCGCAACAAACAGAAAAAGGGAAGAAACCTGGTCCCTTCAGTTCCCTTGTCTGAAACAGTGATAAGAACATCTACTTAACCCTCATGAATCAAATAAATATGGATACTGACAGGGGTTCACCTAAACCAGTGGCCGGGACATAGCAGACTTCACTCTGCTTCTTTTCCCTACCAGGACAGCCCTGAAAGAGGACGGACTCTTCACTCACCATCTGGCCAACTGCTGGCATCAGTAAATATCAACTGGGGACACTAGTATCAAATCACTGAGACTCAAAGGAGACCTCCTAGAATTTTTCTTCTCAAAATTTCCCCCCATTTCCTATCTTTTTGTCTCCAAAATGTCCCTACCCCTTTACAAGGCTCATCCCATCACTGCTGCTTCTATCCTCTGGATATCTGTCGGTGGCCTTATTAAGTCCCTCTACCCTTTTCATTTTAACTTTTTCCTTCTCCATTACAGCCTGCAAACAAGTGCAAGTTTCTCTCACTTAAAAATTTCCAACCTCAACTCTTAAGGAGACATCCTATCTAGCCTTCTGGAAGAATCTCCCAACCTTCTATGGTTCTATTTCTTACTCATTCTGAACCTGTGCATGATCTTGCACCCTAATGATACTGTTCTCTTAAAGGTCAACAGAACTTCTCACTGCTGCATCTCCCTGCCCAATCCCAAGTCAACTCCTGCAAGGACTGACTCTTGGATCATCCCTAGCTTTTCAGAACTCAACTCCTCCTTAGCTTCTCCAAATTCTTCTATTTTCACTCCTTACACACTTATTCCTCTTCTTCATCTATACTCAGTCCCTGGAACCATGAGGCCAAAACTCTACTGGCCCACTGAGGCCAGAAAGGGACATTAAATGAATGATGAGGTCAGTTAAGACCTGTGTCCAAATAGAGCTCTCACGCCTCTTCCTAAGAGGGCAGGTGCTACTCAGCTCTGATGGATTGCTGTTGTGGAGGAACAGCCACGCCGACCTACTGCAATGAAAAACTCTGGGGTTTCAAACAAGAACAACCAATTCAGATACACACACCAACACCAACACCATCCACACACTGTGCAGTCCAAGGGAAAAACACCTGTCAGACTTATTGAGCCAAAAAGCCACCAGAGATCAACCTCGGTACTAGTCAACCTCATTCTCCTACAGAGTGAAGTATCAGTAGGTAAGATCCTGATGATCTGAGGCTCCAAACAGTAATTCCCAACTGGACATCCCCCACGGATATCCCACCAATATCCCAGAGAACAGGACCAAAATCAGACACATCAACTATCACCCCATCACAATTTTCCTCTTTCCTGTCTCAAACTCTTTCTGATCACTATCCTTTCAAGTCAACTGTGACAGAAATCATGGAGTTACCTGTGACCCTTTCCTCCTATCCCATCTCCAATTAGTTATCGAGTTATGAAGCTCCTCCCTCCACACTGTCCTTCATATCTGTCCCTACCCTTCCACTTCCCTCTGCATCAAGTTCATACTGGTTGATACCTTGGCAATTCACCCTTCTCTTAGCTCTGCAGTTATCCTCCTAAAACCACGACTGACTCTGGGGCTTCCCTTCCTCTTCAAAGCCCTCCCCAGCCCTCAGCACAAGCCCTCTGGCTTGTGCGTCTGCCAGAGTCCAGAGGTATCCAACGTTGTGGTTTCCCTGGCTGTGTTCACAGCTGTTCACCCCATGAAACCACATTCCCTACGGGCAGAACTCATCGTATTCATCCCTGTGTGCAGACAGTAGGTGTGGACATAAATTGATGGGGAAACCACACATTAAAGAAAAAGTTCAAAACGAAGAAGCCACAGGCTGAAGAAGTTACCCTTTATCCAGGATTAGGTGTATTTATTTTATCCTGGGCTGGAGCCAGGTACTAACCAAGGTCATTTTAGTCCTGTAGCATGTGAAAACAACAAGAAAGCCTTTTAACATGCTGCTAGAAAGAATAAAATACTATTTCTAGGGAATGTGTCAATTAGTCTTTGGCATTGTTAATATATTAAATATGTAAATTTTCAGTACTGTCAGTGATAACAGCTTTTAAGATCACTGGCAATTACAGAAAGAGAGTACAAAACGGGGATACATCTCCTGTCTGCTTCAGGGACTTTTCCCAAGAGTCAAGGCACCTACCCCTCGCCCTCCCAATCTGAAATAGTAGAGGTCTCCTCTCTTTTAACTGAAGAACCCATCTCCTAGAATCTTCCGGAAAAATGCGAGAAATAAGCAACCACTTGAAATTACTTTGAAATTCTACACAGTTTAAGCAGCATTCATATACAGTTAAGAATATCAGATCTTGCACTCTACTTTGGATCCTGGGAAGAGTTTATGTACCCAAATCCTAAGAATTCAGAAATAAACCTTTTATTGCCCAAGAACATACTGATCATGTTTATAACCTCATCAGTCTCCTGGTGAATACCAGCAGTCTCTGCGTGGGGGCTCACTGCACCACCTAACTGGGCTTCCCTGGTTAGGGAAGCCACACACATCTGCCTCCAAAGCCACCCCTTCAGTGGTCTTGTTCTAATGTCTGCAGAGGTGAAGACAATCATCCTCAGCTGGAACTCCACATCATGGTCCTCAGCTTGAAGATACCTTCTCTGGATAGCAGAGCACCCAAAAGTAGGGGTCGCTGCCTCCCTGTGAAAGGTTTAAGGCAAGCCTGCTCCAAACCATCAACCTTCCTCTCCCCAACCTGTCTTTCTCTCTCTCTCTCTCTCTCTCTCACACACACACACACACACACACACACACACACACACACACAATAATACCCATCCCAGACTGGCATTAAGACAGCTGTGGTTGCCACGATGAATATTCTAGTTGTACATTAAACTATCCTCCCCACACACACAGCATGCTTAATAAGAAGCTTGCTGATGCTCATAAACTGGCAAAGCTCATATATACCTTCCCTGCCCTTATGCCCTTTCTCTAAATCTGCAAACTCTTCTCGGAAAAAGAAAGTCCTAAAGTATACAGTTGAAGCCTAAGTCAAGATTATGCTGCAGCATGTCAAGAAGATATTATTCTCTGCCTAAACTTTTGATCTGCTGCCTTTCAGCCTCAACCATCACATGACCTTATGAAAACTCCACTCTCACACACTTCAGTCAACAGAGCCATATTTCATGTCAAACAGGATGAGACTGCAAGCATCTGTTCGGAAGGTTCTTAGACATAACAATGAAAGGCACCTTGAAGAAGATTAACAATCATCACTGAATCTGAGGATTATGAGTCTTGGCTCATCTGCCTTCTGGAGTGATTAATCTCTAAACTTCAAGAAAAATAACAAAACAAACACACTCAACAATCAACTGTGTTTTATCAGGAACTAGTTTCTCAGAAGTTAGGTGTGACAGGAGACAAAAATCACAGTGTGGTGTGGCCTCACTACTCACCGAAGGGTCAACCTGGTCATTGGTCACTCCTCGCAGAACTATTCTCAGCGGGTGCTTCATAAATGGAGCCAGGCAGAGCAGACTCTCCAGATAATACCCAATGCTGCGAAGAACGCTGCAGTCATGCTCCATGGACCCACCATACAAGAGGCCAGGCTGATAATATAAGGTCGTTCCTTATAACAGAGGAAAGAAAGTCAGCAGAAGGGAAAAAAAAAAAGTGTCACAAAAGAAATGAAACAGTCAGTCCCAAGGGGAAAGTCTGGCAAGGGCATCCAAGAGTTCAAAATGCCATTCCTGAGAGCCCATATACTTCACTCCAAAAGCTGACTCATTACTGTCAAGTCCTTGCAACAATAATAAACTGTGAGTGTAATTTAATAAACAGTAATAAATTAAACCCCTCCCTAAGCCATCTGAATTGCCAGAATCACGGCAGGGCACAGAGGAGATATATCCTAACAGGCACCCTAGTCTCCCAACAGCATGCTCTCAGATTGTGCCAAAGTTGGGGTTTATAAATGATGTTCTGAAATCATCGTGCCAGCAATCAGCTTCTTCTAGGCCCAGGAAATCAGATTTACCAATACCACAGTCACCAAACTAGGTACCTGGAGAAGGCAAGTACTTTATGGTACTCACTTCCATTAATAGTAACTTTAATTTAATAATAACAAATGGAAATGTCTAAAATTATTGAACTGCTTTAGTGGAAACACTTTATCTTTCTTTATTCTTTCAAATGTGCATATCATCCAAAAAGTTTCTTACTAGGTTTACATATTAGAGGAAAAACCAAATAAAATATGCTAGATGATTCAGGGGGTATGAAGAAATGAACACAATATATTTTTGATACTAATAATTCTCCTGGCACAATCTACCAATAAAGAAATCTAACATTAGAGGAAGGAGCCATGTTCAGTCACCAAAAGGAAAGCAGTTCTTGGGAGTTTCACACAAGAAATACAGGTTTCACAATATTAAAAAATCAAAATCACAATAATCACAATCAGAATCATAGTCTAATCAAAGTTGGAAAACTGTACTTTAGTTATTCTAAATACTATTTATGACACAAAACAATCTTTTAGGGTCAAAAGCCCCCAACTCCCAAAGACTATAACCACGAAACTCTGCACCAAAATCTGTCTATGCCAGCAAATTAACCAAATAAGAAACTAACCAGATCATCAAAATGAAGGCTGGGGTCAGGGGGTGGGGCACGTTGTAGCAGTGGGGCGGTTGGGGGGGTGGGGGGGCAGGTAGACACATGAGGTGGAAGGAAGCAGGATCATATAAATACCTTATTTCTCAACTAAGCTGTAGCTATGACCCCAAAACAACAGAATTTCTTGTCCTCTCAATCACCAACAAAAATCACTGAAAACATCCCCAGTAATTTCAAAGTAAAGGCGTCAAGGAAGACTAAAGCAATCACAGCTTGCAAAGGGCATCTGATGTTTTACTCCAGAAACCCGTTCCCTGTGAGGTATGGCTGAATGCAGCTACAGATCAAGTCCCATGGCCACTTATAAAGCCAAGCTCGTCTTCTCCCTTAACAGAGCCAATGCACAGAAAAGTTCAGTTTCCTCTGCTGAACACATGTGCAAAGGCACATAGCTCATGGAGACAATCAAAGCATGTTTGCCATGATCATCTACACAATGTAGATAAAAGTTTCTAATAACAAAAAAAAAAAAAAGGAAAAAAAAAAAACTAGACAAAAAGCTAGAAACAACCTAAATGTTTACCAGCAGGGAACAGTCAAATAAGTTATCATGTATCCATACAACAGAATACAATGTAAGGCCATTGAAAAATTGAGATGGATCTGCATGTGCCTGGCAAGCAAATTCCCTGAGACATCTGTGCTAATGAAAAAACAGCTGGCTGCAGAACAGTATGAACAGCCTGATCCTGTTGATGGTTTGAGATACAAAAATGCCCATGGAAGCAAATACACATAAAGGAGACCAGGACAAAGTCGCCATGGCTGCCCCTGGGAGAGGGAATGGAAGGGGAAACAGGGGAAGAGATCTTCACATTTTTTTGCACATACTTATATAAACTTATTTTAAAAGACAAAATAAAAAAAAATAAAATTCATCACATACAGCTACCTCAGAGAGTTTGTTGTAAGATTTTATTGTGACAACATAAGCTAAGTGGACACTGAAAAGCTGTATATAAAGTTAGGTATAAAACACTTCTATTGTTTAAAAGAGAGGAAGTGCTTGTCTGTTTATCCAAAATTTTCACTCTTCTCACTTCCTTAAGTCACATATATGTCCCTTAAATTGGTAACTTCACATACTGTCTTCAGACAATCATATCACAGACAGAAAACTGGACCTTTCCATTCAAATACAATATTTATACCATCAAAAAGAGTAACAGAGGAGTATTTAAGTAGTACGTGTAAGTGCTTTCAGGAATGGGAAGAAAAGGAGGTTACCTGTTTGGTTTATTTCAATTCGAGAACCATTAGTTACTTTGTCCAACAGTCTTATGAAGCTGGCTTCAAAATCTGTGGGGAGAAAAGAAAACTGATTGGCCTCCAACTAGGTCATCATTTCCAGACAGCACATCCCATCCAAGTATTGCAGTGCGGGGTAGGTTTCTTCCTGCATCACACTGGGTTCTTCACAGCACCTGGGAGAGCACATTGGCTAAGGAATCTGAAACAGTTGAGAAGCACTGACTGGCATTTGTATGTCTTGCTGTTGCTGTTGTTGAGTCGCTAAGTAGTGTCCAACTCTTTTGCAACCCCATGAACTTGGCCCACTAGGCTCCTCTGTCCATGGGATATCCCAGGCAAGAGTACTAGAGTGAGTTGTCATTTCCTTCGCCAGGGGATCTTCCCAAACCAGGAATCGAGCCCGTGTCCCTTGCATCCCCTGCACAGGCAGACAGATTCTTTACCACTGAGCCACCTGGGAAGCCCATATGCAGGTTTAGTAGAACTATTAAAAACAACTCAGCTTTTGTATTCCACCAAAAAAATAGGAACTCTACCAGCAATATAGTGGGATATTAATTTCAGCAGCATAACACCCAATTGTTCTGATCTCAGGAGTGTGTGCCAAATGAGAGAAAGAACAGAAAGCAGGAAAGAGTTTTAAAATCAAACTCTTACTTGCTGCAGAATACCCTTCAATCTCAGAGACAGTAAAAGGTCACTGCCTCTCTCATTCAACAAAGTGCCCCTTCTCCCTTCCTCTATCATCTTATTGATCTAGAACTTTCTAATCAGTTCAGTTTTTAATTTTATTACAAGGTACCTGAATATACAGTATTATCACCTTTTTAATGCGTGAAAAAGATTAGAAGAAAAAAACACCAAATGTTAATAAATAGGCTTCTCTTCACAGTAGCATTTTATATGAATTTTTCTTGTTTAAATTTGCTTCAGTTACTTTTATGAATAAACTGTTATCAAAGCTGTTGAGGTTTCACAGAAAACAAAATTCTGTAAAGCAATTAACCTTCAATAAAAAGAAATTAATTAAAAAAAACAAAATACAAAAGCAGGTTAGTCTCTAAAACATGAGGGGGTAGATTGTAAATGTGAAATATGAAAAGACAGAGAGAAGAATCAGAAGTATATATTCTCTGTTCTCCTGAATTGATATTATATACATACACACACACACACATGGAGCTTTATCTTCAACATCCCTCCCATGAACGGAAACAGGAAGACCAAGTCTTCTGTACTGAAAGCATGGTGACCGCCTGATGCTTTCAGGCAGTTCCTGCTGCTGCTGCTAAGTCGAGTCAGTCGTATCCGACTCTCTGCGACCCCACAGACAGGAGCCCACCAGGCTCCTCTGTCTCTGGGATTCTCCAGTCAAGAATACTGGAGTGGCTTGCCATTTCCTTCTCCATCAGGCAGTTCCTACTCCTCTAATAAACTAGCAGAGTTTGAGAGGACAGACCTTAACAGTAACCTAAACTGATCCCAAAGGGTGAGCAGATCAACGAAGCAATTCCCATCCACCTGTTATTACTTAACGCTGTCCCATAACTCATGTCACAGCAGATTCTGCAATCTATACAAAGAGCACTGGGCTAGAAGTCAGAGAAGCTCTCTTAAGTCCTGAAATAAGGCATAATGGCTAATAACAGCAGCTGTGTATTAATGCTTACCTTATATAATCCTCAAAACCACTAAGCAGAAGTGCTTCTGGTTTTATAGAAGGCTGAGGCCCAACTGGCAGAGTCAAGACTTGCACCCAAGTCTGCCCTTCTCTAGAGTCCATGCTCTAAATCAAACCAGGGCTGGGTTTGCCTCACTCAGTTTAATCTCTCAAAGCTAACCTCCTCCTCTAGAAAATCATACTACCTTTCAACTGCAGGCAGTGATTTACTGACGGTCCTACAGATGACTTAATGAGTCCCCAGTCAACATTTATCTTTAATGAAATTAGAACAGAATAAACACTATCAGTTACATAGTAAGGGTTTGTTCATGAAATTTTAGTCTCAGTTCAATATATACTTGTATATGTATTAGGTTACAGTAGAAGTAGCACCACGAAAGTTCAAAGGTTAAATCAGGTACAAAACTGAACTACATATTATTTCTATGGTCTTTTTATATAGAATATTCTATGTTTTTAATGTAGGCAGGATGTATAATGCCATGCCACTGTCTACTATGTTTATAGAAAATGCAAGGTATTCTGCACAAAAAAAGAAAACTTGACCTGCTCAAGCTTTCAGGCTGCCTAAATAGGTGAGACAAACAAGCATTTATGAATAAAGTCCAAGATTATAAACTACATAGCTTTTATAAATTAGTAAAGAAAAGAAAACAAAAAATTACTTTGAAAGTAGGTGTTTTTGTTTTTTGCAATCCACAGGGGCTCTTGAGCATGAACAGTTAAAAATGCCCAGCAGTGGAACACAAGTAGGAAGAAAATGAGCACTTATGGAGATCTCCAGGCAAAACCATCCCCAGGTCACAGTAAACAGGTGCCTTAGAAGCAGTACCTCAAAGAACCAACACAGAGCTAGTTCCTGAATCCTAGTAACAGTGAAGATACAGCTCCATCACCTGGTACGAAAAAGATCTCAAGTTCGCCTAATAATAGTCAGACTGAAGCCTCAAACTTCTTAAAACAAGATGTGTAGGATTCCCTGCCACCTCACTTCTTCAAGACTGCTCTTAGGAGTACAGAACTTCAGATATCTAGCATTAGGGAGGAAGTTCTCCCCAAAAGCACAACTTTACTAGATGGTTTAAGAATACATAATTAGGTTACATAGCTATAAGGAGAATCAACATGAATGCCACAATGGTCAGGAGACTGGCTACCACTAGGGGCATGGAAGGGAGAGGTAAATAAAACAGGTCAATGAAGGTGTGCACAATGTTCTATTTCTTGACCTGGATAGGATCACACGGATGCTCATTTCTTAATCCAATAAGAACTACTTTTATGTTTTATGAATTTTTCATGTTATACTTCACACTTTCAACAAAATTGTCCTTTAATTTCAGGATTTTTGACTTTTAATTAAAAGGAAATTGACCATTAATTTAAGGATTCCTTACATACTACCTCCCATACATAATGATCTCCCTTCCCAAGACCCCCAAAGAAGGGAGTTCATCATTTCTTTAAAGGGACTGGTAACTTCTAGAAGACTTAGTGGCACTCAATATTAGAACTAAGCCTGACCCATTCCTCACCAAAGAAAGACAAAAAGTCATGTCTTAAAGGAGGGGACTGAAAAAAGGAATACAATTCAAAGATCTACCCTTTAAAAACAAGGAGCAAATCTCAAGAAATAGATTCAACTTAAAAGTATTGTAATGATTCAAATAAATTATGACACATCTATACACAAGAACACTTTGCAGCTATCAAAACAGTGGGATTTTTCATACACTGATATGAATCGTCTCCATAGTATACTGACTGGGAAAAAAGTAAGATGCAAATGGCCTTTATTTGAGAAAGGAAACTGTGTCTATTTGCTTATTTATGGGAAAAAAAGAGCCCTGAAAAGAAACACAACAAACCAACAACACTAGTTGCTTCATACGGAAGGAAGATTGGGAAAGAAACAGAGACACTTTGTAAACCGCTTTGTTTTGAATTTCAAGTCATATGTACACATTTTTAAAAACTAGATAAAAATTAAATTGAAAAAATATAAATAAAGGTACTGTAACACAATTTAAAGAACCAATAAACACTGCTCTCATTAAATAGCATATGAAAGGTCTTTTTTTTTCATTTAGCTTTATTAGTTGGAGGCTAATTACTTTACAGTATTGTAGTGGTTTTTGCCACACATTGACATGAATCAGCCATGGATTTACATGTATTCCCCACCCTGATCCCCCCTCCACCTCCCTCTCCACCCGATCCCTCTGGGTCTTCCCAGTGCAATAGCCCCTTGAGCACTTGTCTCATGCATCCAACCTGGGCTGGTGATCTGTTTCACTATAGATAATATACATGTTTCTATGCTGTTCTCTTGAAACATCCCACCCTCGCCTTCTCCCACAGAGTCCCAAAGACTGTTTTGTACATCTGTGTCTCTTTTTCTGTTTTGCATATAGGGTTATCGTTACCACCTTTCTAAATTCCATATATATGCGTTAGTATACTGTATTGGTCTTTATCTTTCTGGCTTACTTCACTCTGTATAATGCGCTCCAGTTTCATCCATCTCATTAGAGCTGATTCAAATGAATTCTTTTTAATGGCTGAGTAATATTCCATGATGTATATGTACCACAGCTTCCTTATCCATTCGTCTGCTGATGGACATCTAGTTTGCTTCCTGAAAGGTCTTTATAATACAATGCAGCCATCGTTTTTTAAATAACTGCTTAATTACAAATGAAAATATACACACTATTTTAAAGAAAAAATTTTGTAAGTAATACATACAATGTGATTACAATTCCGTCAGAGACAGAACTAAAAGAAAAGACAGCAAATCATTAACACATGAAATTAGGAGTTAATATTTTCAACATTAAATCCAAAAAAGGTAGAAATTACAAATGCATAACCAAGTCTCAGAATAAATTAAAGGATGCTCACTCACCTGGAAATAATATATACATAAAACATTTACATATTTTATATAATTATGCAGAATGTGACAAATAATAAGTTACTTGAACTTAAATACATCACATCTTTCCTAAATTATAAATCACATCAGTTCAGTTCAGTGGTTCAGTCATGTCTGACTCTTTGCAATCCCGTGGACTGCAGCATGCCAGGCTTTGCTGTCCATTATCAACTCCCAGAGCTTGCCCAAACTCATGTCCATCAAGTTGGTGATGACATCCAAACGTCTCATCCTCTGTCATCCCCTTCTCCTCCTGCCTTCAATCTTTCCCAGCAGCAAGGTCTTTTCAAATGAATCAGGTCTTCACATCAGGTGGCCAAAGTATTTGGAGTTTCAGCTTCAGCATCAGTGCTTCCAACGAATATTCAGGGCTGATTTCCTTCAGGATGGACTAGTTGGATCTCCTTGCAGTTCAAGGAACTGTCA